CTGAGCGTGGTGCTGACAACACCAAGCCAAGGGTTGAGATCCCCTTACCGGTCATCTTTTCAAAAAAAAAAAAGATAATATGAATCTTTCTGCAAACTTTTTGAAGACCCCTCATATACACAGATAGATTTCCTACCTCTGTCCACTTAGAGGACCTAGAAGCAGTGACAGACACTCCAGTGGCAAGGAGCACACCCCCTGCCCGGATCTTGGTTTCTAAATGCTACTCTCCAATAAAAGGAACCAGATTGCTTGGAGAAATGGCTGATTTCAGGGATGGGGTGGCAAAAGTACAAGATGAGCTTGGAACATCTTGTAGTGCCAGAAGTTAAGAAAGAGCTCAAAAAAAGGAAGGGGCATGTTCAAGAGGCACAGGACCCAATGTGAGAGACAGTCCAGTGGCTGAATCTGGGACAATTTCAACAACATAAACAGTGAGAGTAGAGACTATACCCATTGAATAAAATAAATGTCCAAGAATCCATACTGATATCTGATATAAGTAAATAACTGAATAAACAAATGGGGAGAAGAGACAGGTCTTTCTCACAGTAGAGTTCCAGTTATATGTAAAAAGAATGAAGGAAACAGAAAATCATTAGGCAAATATCACAGTAATAACTCTGTTATGAACTGCATGTTTCTGCCCCTCCAAAATTCCTATGTTGAAACCCTAACCCCCGGGCCGGCCCGTGGCTCACTCAGGAGAGTGTGGTGCTGAGAACACCAAGGCCACGGGTTCGGATCCTATATAGGGATGGCTGGTTAGCTCACTAGCTGAGCGTGGTGCTGACAACACCAGGCCAAGGGTTGAGATCCCCTTACCGGTCATCTTTAAAAAAAAAAAAAAAAAGAAACCCTAACCCCCAATGGGAGGGACAGAAACATGCTGCACATAACAAGCAGTTATGAGAGGTCATGAGGAGCCTTCATGATGGGATTAGTGCCCCTATAAAAAGAGATAAAGGCTAGAGCACTCTCTCTCTCCACCACATGAGGATACAAGAAGGTGGCTGCCTGCAAACCAGGAGGTAGGCCCTCATCAGAAACCTTGATCTTGCACTTTCCAGCCTCCAGAACTGTGAAAAATAAAGGTCTGTTGTTTAAGCCACTGAGTCTATGGTATCCTTGTTACAGTAGCCCGAGCAGACTAAGACAAGACCCATCAATGGATGCTAAAATTAGTGGGCAAAGTAGGATGAGAAACAGGGTATTCACATACTCTTGAAGTATCGCCCCACAAGATATTCATTAATTAGAAAAGGAACAATGGTAACTTCATGGCAGAGAAACCTGATAGACACCACCTTATCAGTGATCAAGGTTAGCATCAGCAGTAATGAGATATCATAATACCACTTAGACCTAACACACCAAGAAGGACACAACATCTCCTCTGTGGTTTTCTTGCCAAAAATTGCAAAACTTCAATCTAAACATAAGAAAACATCAGACAAACTCAGATTGAGGGACACTCTACAAAACAACTGACCAGTGCTCTTCAAGAGTGTCAAGGTCACAAAAGACAAGGAAAGACTCAGGAGCTGTCACAGATGAGAGAAGCTACAGAGACAGACAACTAAACACAAGGAGGGGGCTGTCCAGTTAGCCCAGCTGGTTAGAGCATGGTGCAGATAACACCAAAGTCCAGGGTTTGATTCCTGTACCAGTCAGCCACCAAAAAAAAAAAAACCACAAGGAGGGGCTCTGAATAGACCCTTAAACAGAAAAAGGGCACTTGTGGGAAAAGTGACAAAACTCTGAGATCACTAAACTGGTTAGAAGTACCGCACTGCAAATTCCACCTTTTGATAACATACTGTGGGTCTGCATAACATCACATTAGGGGAAGTTGGGTTAAAGGTATTTGGGAACTCTAATACTTTTTCATTTTTTGCAACTTTTCTAAAATTATTTTAAAATAAAAAGTTAGGGAGGAAACAAATTCAGGGGTTTGTACTTTATACACCAAAGAAAAATTTATGATAAAATACAGACAAATAAAGAATACTTTTGTACTTGGGAGAAAGGGGCTTGAACGCTCTAGAACATTCACCATGTAGCCGGGACAAGGCCCAGGGAGATATAGTGCTGCTGCAGAAGACCAAACCCTTTGCTCTCACTCCATTACTGCCTAGTGTTCTTTAACTCCTTGACATCACTGGAAGACACTCAGAGAAGCTGGAGGAGCAGCAGCTTTGGGACCAGGTCGTGGGGTGGTGGTGCCATCCAAGGCCTTCTGGCCAACCCCAAGGCCGTGCCCAGCCACGCCACTCACCTGCGGAGAAGTGACTGCTGCAGGCTCTTGCAGGTGGCGAGGGACTCCCCGGTGAACAAGTGACACACAACAACATGCAGGCAGCGGGCCATGAAGGCCAGCACGGCGTCAGGCTGCAGGGTGCCGCTGCGGGAGACCAGGCACAGGCGCTGCAGGGAGGGGCACTGGCCTAGCGCCTGGAAGAACTGGGCGTTGGCACTGAAGTAGGGCTGCTCCAGCCTGTGGGGAGAGAGGACGGCATGAAATCCCCACGGAGGAACCCTGCACACCATGCTGTGAGTGGGGGGCCTCCTGGTTTGGGGCCTGACCCAGTTGTGCCCATACCTGTCTACACCACAATCCCCTGGAGGGCTGAGGGACTACTCAGAGCCATGGGGTCTCCCTGGGAGATCCTGATTTGGGGGACCCATTGGGCCTGATGCAATCAGCCTGCCACTGTCTCCAGACCCAGCTAAGGACACTGGCTCAAGGTCACCAACCTCTTTGCCCACAGCCCCTCAGGTTCACCATGCTCCCAGAGCACAATTCTCACCCCACAGACACCATTTAATGAATTTCATCCTTAAGGACACAGGAGAAGAGTCCCAATGGCCATGAGCAGAGCAGATGCCTCTCAGGGATAAAAACGTGGCCATGTGGAGTTTTAATTCACCCTCACCAAAGACAAGATAGTCACCTAAGTCAGGCAGAGCCCAGACAGCTAAGAAGTGGCATTCCTATTATCGATTTGAATTTTTAGCTCATTTTTCTCAAGAAAAATGTTTGAACACACTACTGGGTTCTATCTTTAAGGTAAACATCCCTTTTCAGATCTGAAAGTGGGAAAATGGGAAAAAGATACTGGAAGCACCATTACAGCTGAGCTGCAAAGTCACCTTGGCTGTTCCCAGAGCAGCGAGGAAACACCGGGACCAGACCACAGGGGATAAAAATAGGAAGGAGGCTGAGGATGGCTGCTGGACGCCTCAGCCACCAGGTGGCGATGCATGTCTGCACTACCCGCCTAAGATCTCCTCCAGACCTCCTGTGTGTGGGTGTGGATGTGCGCATGTGCACGCGTGCACGTATGTGATTGCATGTGTGTCTGCATGTATATATACACACACACGTTAAACCTTTTTTCAACTCGGCAGACTCTTCCAGATTCTTCTGCCCTGAAAAAAGTCACAGGTGTTCAGGGTGGGGGCAGGCCTGGTGGGAGAGTGTCTTGTCCACTCGTGGGGGCGGGCAGCAGGTCCAAACCTTCCACCAGCTCCAAACCTTCCACCAGTTCCCCGTCCCCCGGCACAATGTGCAGGAGAGGCCCAGTATACCACCCAGGATGGCTGGCAGAACTGACCTAAGGGGAGGGGCCTACAGCATCTGGAGGTAGGGCAGGGGATGGGGAAAAGAGATACACTGCAATTGGCCCCAGCTTAGGAGGCCCGTGTTTCTTCCTCCCCTCATCCCTCGTCCTTCCCACCAATGAGAATCTGGCCTCCAAATCCCGCTGAGGGGTGACTTGGGTCTCCCCGTGCATCTGTGGATACAAGACAGCACTCAGATCACAGTGGGGCAGGGGACCTCTCTGCTGGCCACCCGAGCAGCACCCAGGCCTCAAAGGTGTTCCAGGGACAGCACGCCAGGGCCTGGCTCTGATATAGCTCTTACTTCTGCCCAGACACTGCCCTGGTTCTGAGGTCACAGCATCCCAGAGTGACTCAGGGTAATGCTCTCCCCCTCCCTCCACCACAAGGCAGGGCTTAATCAATCTTGCCCTTTTCTGCCCGACCTGTAATCCTCTCACTACCAAGGTAGGCCACAAATCCAGAGCCGTGAGGGCCCCAGCCAGAACAACTTGTTCCTGCACCACTTCCTCCCACCAGGAGCCTGGCTGGCATAAAGCTTGGGTTCATGATGGTGAGAACATGATGGCTGACAGCAGCCAGCTGGCCAGCCTGAGGTCCCAAGGTCTGTCATCTCAGGAACATTCCACCAAGAAGCACGGGAGCCCTGGCAGCTCTGGCAGTGCAGGGAGGCAGCCTAGAGAACAGTGTGCCCGGCCCCCTGGGTCCAGAATACCATTTCCTCTGTGCAGCTCCTGCCCACAGGCCAGTGAGTGCCACCTGCTCCTTTCACTCCAGCTTCCCTGGGCCCGCTTGCCGCAGAAGGCAGGAATCCAGAGGAACGGGGCCATTTGGCTGCATTCTAGAAACTGGTGTTTGTTCTGAACAGGCAGTACCCAACTCAGAGCAGACGTGGTTCTTGGTGGCTGCTGGGCACAGGCTCGATTTATGAACAGAGGTGCCATTATGAGCAGCAGTCCAGTTCTCAGGCCGCCCTACAAAACTTACTCATCCCAAGTCCCATGGGCCTCCCCCAATGCAAGCATGGCCCTACTCCTGGGGAAGATGCTCTGTCACAGGATCACATCCCACATCCTGGAGTCCACTCAGTGACCCCTAAATCCTGCTGCGCTGCCACATTCAATGCCCACTCGTCTCGTGTGGCAGGAAACACTCCCAGCTGCGCACAAACTGGCTGTATGATCTGGGCAAGTTCATTAACTCTGAGCCTTCCTTTCCTCATCCGCAAAGTGGGAAAACAGTACCTACACTCATGGGGTTGTTGAGAACATCAGAGGGGTCAACACCTGTGGAAAGCTCGTAGAAAGCACCGGCAGACATCACCAGAGCTCAAAGGTACACTCCAACCACGGTGCGGCCCTCCCCCACCTTCAGCCCCCCATACTCCTCCCCGCCCCCCTCCAGGGCCTCCTTCACCGGCAGCTCCTGCTCAGTCTCTTCTGCTGATTCTTCCTCCTCTTCCTGACCAGTTTTCATCAGGTGCCCCACGGCCCAATCTGTGGGCTCATCAGTTCCATGGCCATCTGCCATCTACATGCTGAGGACTCCAGAACGACTCCCTCAGGCCAGCCCTCACCCTGGGCTGGCAGCTCAGGTCCCTCTGGATTTGAGGCCAGGGCTGGCAGCTCAGGTCCCTCTGGACTTGAGGCCAGGGCTGGAGGGAGCCTGCTGGGTTTCACTACATGGCTTTTAGTACTCTGGCTTTTTAAATTAGGAGAATGTAGTACTTTATTCTACCTTCACCAGTTTCTGTTTTTGTCAAACACTCCCTGATAACGACCAAATGGTTTGGCTGTGGTACAGTCAGAAAAAGAGCGAGGTTTAATGTGCCGGCAAGCAACAAACTGACGGCTACACTGACAGAACCAGAAAGCCCTCTGCTCAGAGTTTAATCAAGTTAGAACTCAAATGCTCGCTTGGGCTCCCCGAATTTAGGAATTATTTGATTCCCAATCACAGGAGGTGAACAGGGTGACAGGGTAGCAAACTCTGGATGGCTTTTCATTTGCTAAATGTATTTTGTGATGCATTTGCAGATTCAAGACCACGCATCAGCACTCCAGGAAAGGCCAGGAATGTGACAGTCAAGGCACGGAAATAAACAAGATGGCAGGAGACACAGGATGAGATGAACCAGCAAGAAAAGTGGGAGCTGATGCCTGGGTGGCTGCAGAGAGAGGCACAGATGAGGAGAAAGGCATCTGCACCCCTCAGAAGTCAGAAAGTCTCCTAACAGGAGCAAAGGGGCTGACTGCTGTGTTCAGAGCCTGGAACTCTCGGATATGTGTGGCTACGATGTTTTCCCTTCATGCAGAAAAGAAGCCCCAAATTTACATTAACTTTGACTCAAATTTTGAATGCAGGGGGATTCTGAAAACTCAGCAGTGTGGTTCTGAAAGCACCCGTAACTGGGGTGCACAGTATCAGAGCGTGATCTGAGACATGGGGCTCTGCGTTTGCTCAGCTGCCGATAGAAGCTGCACATTCAGGGTGTGTTGATGAAACAGGGCAGGAAACACAGAGGTTTCTAGCAATCTGCTCCACCATTTGGAGGCCCAGGATTGATCCTGGGCTTCTCGACCCAACACTAACAGGAACTCAGAAGCCTCAGCAGGGCTGTACTTGGAGGAGGAGGTGAGCGGGGGCAGCAGCTGCCTGGCTGAGCCGCTCTGGGAGGCTCCAGGGTGTGAGCGGCAAAGCACTCTGGAGGCTTCCACTCAGTTCTGGCCCATTTCCTGTCATGTCGAAGCCTTCAGAGGGAGAGAGTGGAGGTTTACAAAGGACACACTTGGGGCCGGCCCGGTGGCGCACTGCTACAGTGCACCGCTTGGGAGCGTGGCGGTGCTCCTGCCGAGGGTTCGGATCCCACATACAGACCAGTTCCCGCTCACTGGCTGAGAGAGGTGCGGGTGCGACACCGAGGGTTGTGATCCCGTTGCCGGTACCCGTCCGGTACGGGCACGACACTGAGGGTTGCGATCCGTTGCCGGACACGAAAAAAGACAAAAAGGAAAAAAAAAAAAAAAAAGTAGCTGATTGGGTCCAGTCCATGGCTCACTTGGGAGAGTGCGGTGCTGATAACACCAAGGCCATGGGTTCAGATCCCACATAGGGATGGCCGGTTCGCTCACTGGCTGAGCGTGGTGCTGACAACACCAAGTCAAGGGTTAAGATCCCCTTACCGGTCATCTTTAAAAAAAAAAAAGGACACACTTGTTTCCACTCAGCGAGGCTCGAGGGCCAAGGTCAAGTTCTGACTTTGGATTAGGTGAGACTCAGCTCCTCCCCTGAGCTTCCATGGCTTCATCTGTGAAATGGGAATGAAGACACCATTCTCATCGGATTGTGGAGATCACTGGTACAGTGCCCAGCCCACAGCAAAGGGCACCACGTGAACACTAACTGTTCTGAGGACAATGACACACATGCCCAAAACAAAGCCCCTTAGGCTGAGACGTGACTTCATGTCCCTGGTGTTGCCCCCTACTCATCCACCCCAGAAGCTAAGGACCCACAGAGAGACCAGCTAATTTATCTAAACCCTGCCTCCACTCTCTCCCCCGACCTGAATCCTTTGTAGAGCTGAGGCTCACTGCCTTCACTACATTTTGTGTAATTTTGCAAGATCAGATCTATCTGCCAAGATTTTCAAATATGTCTTAAGTTAACAAATTCTTATCTTTTAAATACTGGGACCTCATGAGAACACCCTTTGCTTCATAGCATGATTCAGTGCGAATCCATTTCAAGCTTGGCTGTGGCTTGTGGGTTCTACTTCCTTCCATTCTCTTGGATCAGTCCTGCGTCCCTGCTCCAGGCCACCATCGTCCTCCAGGAGTGTGTGGTCCCCACTCTGAGCCAGTCACTCTGTCTTCTCCACCCTGTCCCCCTCCAGTCCACATGGGATGCCAGCAGATCACCCCCCTCCTGCTTAAAATCCTTCGGCACCATCACCTGCCTGCCTCTCCTACCTCATCTTCCCTACTCTTTTCCACCTCCCGCTGTGCCTTGGCCACCCTGAACCAATTGGCTTTTGGGCACATTTTCAAGCCTCTGGAGCTTTTGCACATGCTGCTTACTGTTTCAGAAGGCCTTGGCTCCACATCCCCCGGGTAACTACCATACATCCTTTGAGAAGTGCAAAGTTGGGTCAGAACGCCCTGAGTTCGAACCTGCCTCCCCCACGTACCAGCTCTGCTGTATGGAAATAACAGCCACCTTGCAAGACCATTACAAGGATTAAGTAAGATTATACAACAACAGCATCGTATAGAGCACTCACTCAATAACTACAAGAAATAATTATGCTAAGCTTAGGTACTCCACCTCCTGCACCCCACTAGGGCTCTGCTAGATACTTCCCCAAAGCCTGCCTGAGCACTGTATTGTACACAGTGAGGCCCCCACCCCCAGCCTCTGAGCTCAAGACACCTGTGTTGTGTCCTTCTCTGAGCTCCACCACCAGCAGGCCCAGTGCAGGTCTGCAAATGCATGCTACTCGCTTTCCTCTGCCAGCCTCTAAGTGCCTCCAGAGAGCCAGCAGAGGCCACAGTGGTGTCACCAGGGCCCCTCACCTGAGGTCTTTCAGCCGCTTGCAGTGCTGCAACATGTCTGAGAGGGCGGGCATGTAGACCACCTTCCCCATCATGCCCAGGTTGGCCAGTGACAGGGACTGGAGCTGTTGGCACTGCAGGCCAATGCTGACCAGCCCAGAGCCTGTCAGGATGCTGGGCAGCTGGGCTAGGGTCAGATGCCGCAGGAAGGCCAGCTGGCCAATAGCAGCCACCTCTGAGTCCCCGACATTTTGCGCCCGGCTGCAGGGCGGGAGGGAGTTACGGATGGCAGGCTCGTTGCGTGGCATGGCAGAGGAGAAATTGGACCCGATCAGCTCAAGGTGTTCCAGAAAAGGCAGGTTCTTCAGCAGAGACCAGAACACAGAGGAAGGCTGGGGGACTGTCTGGCCCGAGAAGGGGCTGGGGTAGGACTGCACGCCAATGCGCACCTTCTTGCCAAAGCCACGGGGCACAGCATGCATCACAGGCTGGGCAGGCGCGCGGTCAGCCCGTGGCGCTGAGTCAGCGATGGAGCAGACAGGCAGGGAGAGGGAGCGCAGGTGGCGCAGCCGAGCCAGGAGCTGGCAAAGGTGCCTGCCCAGGCCCTCAGAGCTGTGGTGGTGGGCAGCCGAGAGGTTCAGATGCCGCAGGTTGCAGCAGGACACCACCAGCGTTTCCAGGATGCTACTGTCAATATCATCCTCTGCCTTGCGGAGCAGCGAGTCCGGAGAGAGGCAGTGGACACAGCCGCTGAGATTCAGGCTGGCTAGGCTCCGGAGGTCCTTCCCACCATTGATGACCCGCTGGATCAGGTGGCCACCAGATAGGGTGCACCGGCTGAAGCTGAAGTAAAAGGGCTTGTTGAACTGCATGTGTTGGAGGAGGGACGAGCCGTTCAGCCAGGACTTTGGCAGCTGCAGGGCATCCAAGGCCACGTTGCGGGCCATGGAATCCAGGAGGTTCTTGGTGGCCCCACTCTCAGCAAAGCTGCCAGGGACAGAGATGAGGAAAGCATGCAGATTCTCGGGTGTGCGGTCACTGAGCACGGCCAGGTACAGCCGCACCACCTCCTGGTTGATGTAGCCCGGCGCCAGCCGAGCATAGAAGACCCGCAGGTTCTGGTAGTGGGGCACATTGCTCTGGCCCACCATGAGCTGGCCTGAGAGGATAGCGCCCTCACGCGTGCGGTCCAGGATCTCAAAGTAGAGCAGTAGCTTCTCGAGGCTGGTGCAGCAGGGCACCACACCGTAGGAGGGTGTGAACAGCGTCTGCTTCAACTCCTGCACACGGCTCAGTGTGGCCTTGCACTCGCTGCTCAGCTGGCTGGCATCGAAGCCCGGGCTCACATCGATGGCCAGCGAACGCAGGTTCTGCAGGGCCGAGAGCATCTTAGAGAGGCGCAGGGAGGTCAGGTGGCAGCCGGAGAGGTTCACTTTCACCAGGCTGCGGCACCGGGCAACATGCTCGATGGTGGAGCCCGACAGCCAGTAGCAGCCGGCCATGTTCAGCTGCTGGATCTCCAGGCCAATCTCCTTCACCAGCCGCTTTACCTTGTCCTCGCTCGCCTGCAGAACAGGGACAGGGCAGGGAGAGGAGGAAAGGGACTGAAGTCACCCAGGTGTCTCCTCCCCCATCAGCATGCACACTCTCCGACAACAGTCAGGGAGCCACAAGGCATCCTGCAGAGGTATTCTACTCAAGATAGGGGGAGCTGGCCTCCTGCTCTCCATTCCCACATGCTCACCTTAAGCCAAGTGGCAAGAGTCCCCAGCTAGGTAGGAATGCAAAATGGTGCAGCCACTGTAGAAAATGGTTTTTGAGGGTTCCTCAAAAAGCTAAGTACAGAATTGCCATATGACTGAGCAATTCCGCTCTCAGGTATATATCCAAACGAATTGAAAACAGAGACTCAGAAAGATACCTGTGCACCCATGTTCACTGCAGCATTATTCACAATAACCAAAAGGTGGAAACCGCCCAAGTGTCCATCCACAGACGAATGGGTAAGCAAAGGCAGTCTAGCTATACAATGACCTATTATTCAGATATAAAAAGGAAAGAAGTTCTGACACATTCTGCAACGTGGATGAACCTCAGACACATTATGCTAAGAAAAAGAAGCCCAACACAAAAAGTCAAATATTGCATGATTCCATTTATATGAAATACCTAGAATAGGCAAATTCATAGGAACAGAAAGTAGAAAAGAGGTACCAGGGGCTGGGGGGAAAAGGGAATGTACTGCTTAATGGTTCCAGAATTTCTGTTTAGAGTGATGAAAAAGTTCCAGAGATGGATGGTGGTGATGGTTGCACAACATTGTGAATGTACATAATGCCACTGAACTGAACACGTAAGAATGGACAAGGCGGCAAATTTTATGTATTTTTAAATCACAATTTTAAAAATGGTTAAAATGACAAATTTTACATTATATATATTTTACCACAATTCAACAAATATACCAAAAACCATTGACTTGTACATTTTAAACAAATGAGTGAATTATACAGTATGAGTCATATCTCAATAAAGCTGTTTAAAAAGAAGAAGAAAGAGTTCCAGCTATAGAGGAGCCCGACCACCCACAAAAGCCTCCTGCCGGCCAAGTGCATGGAAAGGCCACCTGGGTAAGGTCCCTGTCTCTCTAACACACACTGCAAAACTGGAATCAGGTCCTATGAAGCTAGCTTTAGAGTTCCAGCTATAGAGGAGCCCGACCACCCACAAAAGCCTCCTGCCGGCCAAGTGCACGGAAAGGCCACCTGGGCAAGGTCCCTGTCTCTCTAACACACACTGCAAAACTGGAATCAGGTCCTATGAAGCTAGCTTTGTCGGTTGCTTTCTTTCTCATCATATGCATTTTCTCATCATTAACTATTCCTCACAGACATGGCTTGGACTGGCTTAGGTGAAACACAAGATACCAGGCAGGGGAGCACAGCAGGCGGTCACCCACAGTCAAACACTGCAGCCATCTCCAGCGGGGTCCCATCATACACAACGCTGCATCAAGTATCCATGTAACAGAGGCATCAGTGCATTGGATTCCTTCCCTAAGGTAAAGGTCTATACACAGAACTGTGTGGTCAGAGCACAGGCACATTTTAAATCCTCCGCATATACAATGATTGGCACTGTCCTTGGGGAGCCCACCCCTTCCTCTACAGAAAAAAAACCTTCATGAACAGGACGCCTGATGTCAGTGCTCTAGGGAGTATGCTTAGCCTCTCTTCCCCACCAGAGATGAGCCCTCTAGCAGAAAGAGCAAATGCTCCAGTGGGGCCTCACTCTGGTACCAAAGGCTCCACTTCATAACCAGAAAGAACAGCTAGGAGCCCTTCCCACAGCCTCCTAAAATATGGATTAAGGTCAACGCCCTACGGAATTCTGTTTCTTTTTACCTTTATTTTTTTTTATTATTATTTTTTTTTAAAGATGACTGGTAAGGGGATCTTAACCCTTGACTTGGGGTTGCCAGCACCACGCTCACCCAGTGAGCTAACCGGCCATCCCTATATGGGGTGGACCCTCTTTTTACCTTTAAAATACATCATCTTTGGGCCGGCCCATGGCTCACTTGGGATAGCATGGTGCTGACAACACCAAGTCAAGGGTTAAGATCCCCTTACCAGTCATCTTTTAAAAATAAATAAATAAGGGCCGAGCCCGTGGCACACTCAGGAGAGTGCAGCGCTGGGAGTGCAGCGACGCTCCCGCCGCGGGTTCGGTGAGCCCGTGGCACACTCAGCAGAGTGCAGCACTGGGAGTGCAGCGACGCTCCCGCCGCGGGTTCGGATCCTATATAGGAATGGCCGGTGCACTCACTGGTTGAGCGCGGTGTGGGCGACACCACACCTAGGGTTGCAATCCCCTTACCGGTCACGAAAAAGACAAAAAATTAATAATAAAATAAAATAAATAAATAAATTTAATTAAATACATCATCTTTGGCTAGAGCACAGCCCCAAGGTCACAGGTTTGGATCCCCGTATCAGCCAGCCACCAAAAAAAAAAAGACACATCAACTGATTCTCAACAAAGGTTCCAAGGCAATTCAATGTGGAAAGGATAATCTTTTCAATAAGTGGTGCTAGAACAACTAGATAGCCATATGCAAAAAAAGTGAACCCCGACCCTGCTTCATGCCACATACAAAGGTTAACACAAAATGTATCATAGACTTAACTGTAAGAGCAAAAATTATAAAACATCTAGAAGACAACATAGGGGAAAATCTTCATGACCTCAGGTTTAACAAAGATTTCTTCAATATGACACAAAAAGCATGCACTCAAAAATTCAACAAATTGGACTTCACCAAAATTTAAAATGTATGCTCTTCAAAAGACAGTTAAAAAAATGAAAGGCAAAGCCAGACTGGGAAAAAAATATGGGAGATAACATTCACAATACATATATCTGACTGGTACCTAAAATATACAAAGAACTCCTATAACTCACCAAGAAAAAGACAACTCAATAACGAATGGGCAAAAGACTTGAACAGTCACTTCTGAAAAGAAGATACACAAATGGCCCAGGCACTTCATGCAAACATGACAGGCAGCATCCTTCATCAGTTAAAGCCACAATGAGATACCATGTCCCACCCATTAGAATTGCTGAAACTGAAAAAACTGACACCACCAACTATTGACGAGGAGGCAGAGCAACAGGAACTTTCACACATGGTGGGGTGTGAAATGGCACCCTCCCATTGTGCCACTGGACAGCAGTATGTTTCACTTTACAAGAAACTCCCAGCACCTCTCCTGGACCCAGCAATTCCACTCCTAGCTATCTACCAGAAACTGAGACTCTCCCCTACTCACGTGCCTGAGGCCCTAAGTTCCCTCCCAAAACAATATCTACAAATATCTGCCCCCGTGGCATAACACCCACACTTTTCTGCCCCTTATATTTGTCATTTAATGTATCTTGGAGACTGGTCCAGGTAAGACTTCCAGTGCCTGCCTCCTGATTCATCAGCTGCACAGTGTCCCACTGCAGGGCTGTGCCAGTCGTCAACGACTTACCTGTAGGCTGATCCTAATCTCCTGCCCCCACACCTGGCTTACCTGATAGTCCTTCTGCAGCAACACGGTGTGAATGAGGCTCTTGTCAAGGCACAGGGTTGCGAGCTTCCGGCAGGTGCGCCGGACATTCAGAATCAGGTCTGTGCTAGGGACGTGGTTCAGGATATGCAGGAGGATCTCGTCAGAGAACCCCAGGAGATGGGCACTGCCCGCCATCCCAGCTGCTGCAGGGTGTGAGTCATCATCGTTGGACATGTCCTGAAAATAAGGGGGACACCGAATTCCCACAGGACCTCCAAGAGCAGCCGTCAGCCTGGCTTCCCCAGCTAGAGAAAGAAGTCAAGAGAAGCCCTCACCATAGATCATGAGAGAGAAGGAGTTTTTACCAGAAATCTTAACTACATAGCAAAAAAAACTCATGAAATTCTTCAAAACTCCTTTTTAGATTTGTGAACTAGGATCTCTCTTCAAAAATAAAAGATTAGTGGGCCGAGCCCTATATAGGGATCCTATATAGGGATGGCCGGTGCACTCACTGGCTGAGCGCGGTGCGGCCGGTCTCAAAAAGGATAAATAAATAAATGAATGAATAAATAAAAGATTAGAAAGAAGATCAGTATGTGTTTAAAATATTTTATGGGAGCCGGCCCGGTGGCGCACTGGAGAGTGCGCCGCTTGGGAGCGCGGCGGCGCTCCC